TCTTTGCAACTTTACAGATCTTCTTTATGCACCAAGAGCTTGTAACACTCCACAGAGAAAGGAAAAATTGAAATCGCATCATATGACCCCTTTAAGATCTTCTATTTAGATATTAAGCTTTTGCTACCCCAAAAATACTATATATTAATCACTATTCTGTCTTTGTGTGTGAGTATGAGTGAGTGTGCACCAATCTGACCATATTACGGGGATACATTTTTACCCAGAAGTAGGGCTGTGCGATTAATCGAAATCGTCATAAAATCGCGATTTGAATCTATTTTCAAAATAACAATTTAAAACGTGTTAAATAAGTAAATTATATGCATATTTACTTCTGAGTTGAAAATACTGTTTATTTTAAAATATAGGCGGATATATAGTTAGTAAAATCTTTCAGTTTCACTTTCATTGTTCCAATTTTTAAATATCACAATATTCACTAAATTTTAAATAATCGTTTATTAAAAAGTAAAGAATAAAAAAATACCCAAAATTAAAATCAGCATTAGGTATTTAAACATGAAACAAGTTAGGGTTAGGTGAACATTTAAACATCTTCTCAAAGTCCTCAGTTTACACTTAATGCCTGCTCTGACCAGAAGATGTCAGGAAAACACAAACACAATTCAAGTTCCTACTTGTGCTGTACACTTTAATACATCTTTAAAGCAGCACTATGTAACTATGTAACGCTCTAGCGGTTAATAAACAGAACTGCACACATCCCGCGGAAGAACATTCCAACCGGAGCTACTTCTCTAAGTTTATGTCTCTGGCGATTCACGCAGGTATGTGTTACCACGCAGCGGTGATGACCAAAGTAGACAAAAACGCGGTTTGGAAGATGAATTCACGATGTACTCGCTCATTATATACATTTTGCACATTTTGAACACAGAAAAAGTTACATAGTGCTGCTTTAAATGTAAAAAAGTACAAGGTTTTCTGTTAGGGGTAGGGTTTAGTATTTATAACTAGCTATATATAAACATATAAGTCTATGCAATGTACACATTTAGATTAAGTTAGTAAATGTGTGTGTGTATACCTGTGCAGCATGTATTATGGGTGACTTTTCCAGCATTGAAATGAGGGACTGTGATGTGGGCAGCCGGTCAAAAGCATACTGAATCCCCACAGAGGAATATCTCCTGTAGGGATAGCATAAGCACATAACACCATTACCATTTTCATCTTTAATAGCAGGGTTATTAACGAATGTAAATGTGAGTGTGTTACCAGTCTACAATATCACTGGTTCCAAGCAGTGTGGCTGCGTTGATCACAGGGTTTCTTGCTGCACAAGCTCTATAGAAATCTGGATACTGACCAACCAGGTGGCAGGCCAGAAAACCACCATGAGAGCCACCCATCACTGCCACCCTATCAGGATCAAGGGTCGTCTCATTCTGCAAAGTGCACAACACTGCCCTCTGGACACAAAAATTGACAAATGAGCTAATTTTTCCTCAATATGCACACATTATTTGTGCATATACACACATGAACATCTTTGACGTCCTGACTGCCAACGTTTCCAAGCAGAGACTCTATGCCATCTTGACCGAAACCAGTGGAGCCCCTGTAGTTCACTGTGACACACAAAGTCATACTTTAAATCAGTGCTCATTCTCTATTTTTTGTTGTGACAGGAACTAGAATGCTACATATACACCCTACCCATCAGAACAGCAAATCCCAGTTTGGTTAAAGCAGCAGCTGTGGCGTTCCAGTCAGCAGCAAAATGAGCATGAGGACCACCTGCACAGACAAATACTTCACTGTTCACTTATGTCTGAGAAATAATGACGTCATGAACAAACAATTGTCAGCCTTACCATGTATATTCACCACTAGAGGACTTTTCCTTCTCTCTGGAAGATTGTACGGCTTCAACAAAATTGCTCCAAAATTCAGTCCAGCTATATAGAGAGGAGGAAAGAGTAAAATCACAAAGAAATATTGCTGGTAGCAGCTGTAAATCTGATGATACATCCATCTTACTCACAGAACTGATGGTTCTCCTCTTGAGAAGGGGGTGTGATTAACATGGGCTGCCAATCAAATCCCTCATACACATCTGCTCCGCCCACATTACAAAGTTGCATGTCCTCAGCCTTATCCACTGATGAGAGGAAGCCCAGTTTCTACAGAAAACACGCAGTGTTACATGTAACTAGGGTTGGGTATCGAAAACCGGTTCCATTTTAGAACCAGTTCCAAATTTCCAAGAACCAGGTATTCGATAAGACGCGTGCATTTCGATTCTGCTTAACGATTCCTGCGTTCGCATTTTATATGTAGTTAATAAAGTCTTATTTGTATCACACTTGACGTTGTTCATTGTTTGCTCATAACTGGAGTCCCTTAATCATGCAGATTTATGCTACAAGCTCTGTGTAGAATTGTACAGTAAGAAAGTAATTTCCCTTAACCAGGAAATTAACGTTCTTAGAATTGACAGACAGTTGACCCTGAGAGGTCAAGTAAATATCTACAGCGGATCTAAATATTTATAATTAATTATAACTAGTTATGATTAATTATTCATATTTCCCCATGAGCTGATTCGCTACAAGTTGTATTTATTTATGATATTGCTAATTGATTTGTTTGTTCCTATCTTATTACTGACTGTTTACTTGTCTTTAACACTTTAATATTTGAAATCTATATATATATTAATCTAGTTCTTTTTGCTATGGTATTTTTTTTAAAGCATAGGCAAAATTCCTCTTGCAGTGTTCTGTAGGCTGCTGATTTTTGCTCGTGTTACTCAGCTGCAACAGAATGCTTTGTAAAAAGATCTAAATGTTTGACTTAATTTTTATCTTATTGGAATCAAAACTAGGAATCGATAAGAATCGGAATCGATAAAATTCAAACGATACCCAACCCTACATGTAACGCAGTTTCTTCAGTGAAAGATGACTATTATAGAAAAGTGTGTGCATGAGTGTATGGTTGTACCAGGCAGGAAGGTTGATTTGGAGATGAGCAGCTCATCACCATCAGGTCTTTTTGTATTGTCAACAGCTGCACACTCCCGAAATCATCTACCAAACACACACACAGAATTAATGACTGTCACAATTGGCAAGAAACATAGTAATGACACTGACAGTAAAGTGACCAAATGGCCTTAGAATATCTTTCGTTCTTATGGAGTCAGAGCAGTTATGGCATCACTCCATATTTATACTACCTTGTCTTAGCGCATCCAGTCCGCACACTTGTGTGACTCTTCCTGTGGTTCTGTCAACTGAGAACACTGCCTAGAAGAACAGATGGTGCAAATCACAAAATCGTAACACTAAGAATCAGAAATTCAGAATCCACACAGTGCAGAAATTGGAGACATACAGGCTTTCTATGCAAGATATTTAACAGTGTGCCAATTTTTTTTCTTCACTATTTGGGTCAAGTACTGGTATTTTTTGTGTATGTGTATTTGTTTTGTTTACCTTATTGTTTTCACAGGAACTGCTAAAGAAGATTCTCTCATTGTCTGCAGACCAGCATTGAGATGGCAATGATTCGTATATACCAGCAAACTGACCTGTGAGGGGACATGACATCACACCTATGTCCATTGTGAAAAGCGCTATTTAAATAAAACTGACTTCATGTCACTTTTCAATGTGCGTGCATGTGGGTTTTCTTTTAAGTACCTTTTTCTGCTCTCCTGACCACATCTACTAAGACTGAAGTGCTTCTGTTCTTCATGTCATACTAAAAGAAATTAAAAAAGAGACAAAAAAGAGAAAGTAGTCTAATAAATAGTCAAATAAGATTAATCTTATTCAAAGTCTCTTATGCTAACCAAGGTTGCAACTGTTTGATCGAAAATACAGTAAAATCAGAGAGATATTATTTGCTTTGTTATTTTAATATTTTTTTCCAGTGATGGCAAAGCTGAACTTTCAGCAGCCATCTTCAGTGTCACACGGTCCTTCAGAAATCATTTTAACACGCTGATTTGGTGCTCAAGATACATTTCTTATTACTATCCCTTTTGAAAAAAAGTTGTGGAAAAACCATGATACATTTTATTCAAGATTCTTAATGAATAAAGAGTTCAAAAGAACAGCATTTATTATAAAGCAATTCATGTATGATATATTGAACTGTATGTTCTCACCAGCATCATTCTCAGGCACTGACGATGTGGTCCAAACACCTGTCCCTGCAAGTATATGATCCAGCACGAGTCCGGACTCATTTGAGGGCTTGAAACAGACACACCTTCAGCTGACAAGCACTCTGGCAAAGACAGGTCATATTGGACAAAGAGAGGTTACAGGACCAAGAGTTCAAGTTTCACAAAACTGTATACAAGTCAAAGCCCAAAGAGTGAAGAAAAGGCACATAAAAAGATGCTTACACATAAACTCTCCTATAAAGATACTTACCACAGTTTCCTTTCATATCCAGGTAGTAGAGAGCTGATCTGGAAAAAGAAACAAAATCGGAATTAATTCTCTAATATAAGCATCTTATTAAATACTAGCACTTTAGGGATTGTGGGATTATTACTGGATCAATAGTTCTAAGGAAAAATTATAGCTGTTGAAGTTATCTTTAACTCCGCCCTCACCTACGATTAGAGCAGAATTTCAGGCCCAGTCTGAACGGCTCATTCCATTGGCCCACAAACACCACGCCCCTTCCATTAGGTGCCCACAGAGCCTTATGAACGAACAAGGAGTATTTTATAATTCAGTTAACATTTACAACAATTGAATTTGAGATTGCTGATATAATATTTCCCATGTGTGGCATAACATACTTGATTATCAATTAGACAAATGAGAATTGTAATATACATCTGACTCACCTGTCCTGGTGATATATGCGGAGGTACGCCAGCATATACGATAACTGCCCCTTTGTTGAGATCAGCCACACATAAGACAGGACAGCTCTTACCCACCAGACCTTCACCCCAGTCTTCAATATATATGTTCTTATCCTGAGAAATGCACACATTTCTTCAAAAGCCTTAAACGCATATCTTCAAATGTCTAGCCATAACGGTTACTGTATGAAAGTATATATGGGAGAAGACATTTCACCTGTTCCTCAAGCAACACTAGCCCACCATCCTCATTGGCTGATGCAACTGATGAATGTGCTGATGGCTCGACCCTCTTTTTTTCAGCCACATAGAGCAACTTGTTTTCACATGGTGACCAGGCCAGACATGCAAACTGAGCTAATGACACACAAAAAAACAAAGTACACGCAATCAGACTAATATCCTTAAACAATGATCTGGGCTCCAGACTGAAAAAAAGACCAGAGAGCCACTGGCTACTATAAAGAATCATTAGTTTCCAAATTACAGAATGCCTCGGCATAAATGTGTATCTTCAACTACACAACCATTCAAAAGTTTGGGGTCGGAAACATTAGTAAATATTTTTTTTAGATAAGTCTCTCATGTTTAACAGTGCTGCATTTATTTGATCAAATATACAGTAAAACAGTAATATTGAGAAACATAATTACCATTTTAAATAACTGTTTTCAATTTCAAAATGTAAGTTATCTTGTGATGGCCAAGCTGAATTTTCAGCAGCCAATGCCAAAAAGCCAAAGTCATCAGTGTCACATTATATTTCAGAAAACATTCTAATACTGTATGCTGATTTGGTACTCTAGAAGCATTTCTTATTATCAATTTTGAAAAAAATTGGTCTGCTTAATATTTTTGTGTAAACTGTGATACATTTTTTCAAGATTTTTGGATGAATATAAAGTTCTAAAGAACAGAATTTCTTTGAAATAAAAATCTTTTGTTAAATTATATATGGCTTTATTGTCAACTTTGATCAATTTGATGCATCCTTGTCTCATGAACCTTAAGTAAAGCTCAAAGTCAGTACAAGTTCATTTCTATAAGACAGTTAGTGATTTGAAACCCCTGGTGTATAACATGGACAACAAAAAGTGTTTCTTACCATCTTCGTACACTTTTCCATGTTTATTTAGAGCTGTAAGGTCCAAACTTTTCTCCAGACCATTTTGGCCCCAAACCTACCAAATGAAAAAAAAAGGATTAAGAATCATACTTTAATAATTCAATATTTTAATATCAAAGATAGCCATTACCTCCACGTACTGATGTCCAGCATCCTCCCGGATGACAGCTTGAAGAGTCCCAGAAGGAGAATGGCAGCTGAGCAACCTGAAAGTGAGAGATGCATTTTGATGACAGGTGTGTTGTTTACTTGTAGTCTTTCTTTTTATCTGTTGAGATACATGAATATCTGAATATTATGTATATATCTCCTACTCCTTCTCTATGTGTGAGCTTGTTCCAGACGGCAGCACATGCTCGATTGTGTCGTGTTTACACAGTAGAGTCCATCTCTGAGAGAAACGCAGTTTCCCCCCTCTCTCCAAATCACACTGACTCCAACCTAGAGAGAGAGAGAGTTGAAAAGCAAGCATCATTGAAGTCATATAACTAATTAAATAGAGAATACACCATAAAACCACATGGCAGAACTCTTCAATATACTTACGGGCCAATATGGTGATACAACGCTTCTCATTGGCAGTGTCCACCAGCTCATCAGCGACCACAGAGGCAGAAATGGGCACTGGAAACCTGATACAGTGTCTGAACACATCTCTGATTTCACTCTCCATTGCAATCTGAGACCACAAACATAAACTATGAGTCAACATAAACAGAAAACGAACATGAACCTGCCTTTCTTGTGGGCTCACACTGTAAAACTGCCCATTTTTGACACTTTAGAGTCCACTGATTCATATGAACTCATATATGAATCATATAAACTACTTTAGTACATACTATCTCACGTACTGTAGTGCTCAGCAGAATTCAAACTTACTATTTTTTGTATGCAACGCAACTAATTAACAAATAGCTACAGTTACACATTTAGTCAACATTTTGCGATATAAAATATCCTATTTTTTATCTCACTAGTGTTTATAACGCTTTGATAACGATATCACGCTTCCAGTGATCTCATTAAAAAGATGTATTCTGTCAATAATAAAGCAACACGTTAATAAAAGAGAGTGACCAGATGTTAAAAAGTAGCACCGTTTACGTCTGCACCTTAAAATAGATGTGGGTCAGCTGGGCGCAAACGAAATCTGGCTAAAACAACAACAACACAGACGCCACCGCAACGCATGTCACCAACAATAATCCACACCGGTCCAGTGAATTGAAGTGGACCGTCGTGACAGAAGATTGAGATCGGAAAAAATCGCTGGAGTGTCGGTGACAGCCGATGTTTCAACCGCGGACAAAGCACTTTCGGTGCGGACGCATCCATTCTGCGGCCTCTGAGGGGGGGTTTCGGTTTATTCATCACACTTTCGACACTATGATCTTTAATTACCTGCGCCAGTATTGAAGAACTCTTGTGTTTAATCACAATAATATAATTCATAGTATCATGTACAAAGTATTGGGTTTTGCTGCATGTAAAATCACGTAATAATGTATTTTCGTTACCCGTCAGTTTTAAGATATTGTGATTCCCTTTTGGCTGTAAATGTCTGCAACGTTTGTTACTATTTATCTTAAACTTGAAATCGTTCAGGATGTTTCTGTTACTATTTATCTTTAAATTGAAACTATTTAGGATTATTATTTATATTTATAAAATGTATTTATATTATTTTCCTATCATTTAAATATGTATATAAGAAATTTCTGAGACAATCAACAATAAAGGAATAGTTCCCCCATAAATCTGTTGTTTACACACCATCACTGAAAACCTGCATGACTTTCTTTTTTGGGGGAACACAGAAGAAATTTTGAACAATGTCCTGAATGGTCTTTTGTCCAAAATATCAGCTTTTGTGTTCTCCAGAATAAAATAGTCATGCAGTTTGGAATAACATGAGAGTAAATAAATGATGACAGAATTTTCATTTTGGGTGAACTGTCTGTTTAAGGCTGTATTTTAAAGCAGGGATTCCTAAACTTTTCTGTCAACCAACCCCCTTTGACATAAAATACTTACCCTGACATTTTAAGTTAATATTTTGATAATTTAACAACACATTTGCAAATTCACAGTTCTCTGATGTCAGTAACTGGTCACATGACATGTAGGTAAACAAATAAATTACTTACTCTTTTTTTAAGAAAACGTTTTTTATTTTGTTTTTAATTTATATGTATTTATTTTAATTTGACTCACAAACTCAATGCAGTTCCCTCATAAACCCTGCTCTAAAGAGTAAAAAAATCTCCGAAACCTCCCAAAGGATGAACTTCTCTCACCTTCTGTTGTTGTCGCAAAGCAAGTCTCTGTTGTTTTGGGTTTTTCACCTGAGCAGAGGCAGCTTTCTCCTGGTTTGACACTTGATCTGGGTGCTTCCTTCTTAAATGCACCTGCAGATTCTTCCTGTGCAGCATTAAACCACAGAACGGACACAGATCTTGTGCATCGGATCTGGATCTTTGTGGGATGGTGCTTTCAACAGATGTGTGTCCAGAGAACATCTCATTTACCAAAGTCTGTATGGCGACATCAGCCTCTATAGGATGAGGATTGGCAGCAGAATTTGAGACAGTGGTCTCTGTGACATTATGATCCACTACAGAGAGATCTACCACTGAAGCATCTCCTTCATCCACTGGGGATATAGTTGGGTCATCTGTTCTCACCTGCTCCTCCATAATCCCTCCTTCACCTGAGATTAAAGAGAGTAAGACTATCAAACACTCTGATCAGAGGACATGGATATGGCACAAGACTCACTGCATTTCATAGTCTTGTTGTCAGCCAGACTGACAGAGAATCAGACTTTTGGCTGGAACACACTGCATGACTTTTAGAATTCTGAACAGATTATAAAACAATAGGCTTTGTATATGTTTACATAGAATAACTGGACATCATACAATAAACGACTGAGGATCACAAATGACCAGACTATCAATCCGCTCTGAATGCAACAAATGAAACATGCGTGACAATTGAAAACACTACACTCTAAAATCGACTCAAATTATCAAACAAGATTGAAATCCTGTGACTGGATAGAATGACAGTCTAAACTAATTTTGACAAAAAATCTAATCATTTTTTGTCACTATGATCAAATAATGACTGAATAAAAATATGTTTAAATCTGTGCCTGATAGTACTTAGGTCATTTGTCACACTGGAAATGAAAGGTCAAGTCAAGCAAACTGCATTATGCTGAATATTTTCTGTTTGATGAGACTCACCTCTGGAGTTTTGGACTGCCATCTCTGAATCACTGAGCCCCTGGCTCACTGTTTCCTCACTTACAGCCTGCAACAGCACAGGGTGAATAGAGATGTGAATGTTTATATCAATTTCCACAGCTCGTCACAAATTTTGACACAACAAGGCCCCAAAGATTCTTCCAGTCTTCAGTGTCACATGATCCTTCAGAAATCATCCTACTATGCTAATTTGGTACTCAAGAAACATTAATTATCATTATCAATGTTAAAAACAATTATGCTGCTTAATATTTTTGTGGAAGCTGCGATACATTTTTCAGGGTTATTTAATTAATAGAAATTTCAAAAGAACAGCATTTGTATGCAATTCAAAACATTTTGTAACATTATAAACATCTTTATATGTCAGCTATACTAAAAAACGTTTTACTTACCACAAACTTTTGAATAGTAGTGTATATAGATAATAAAAAAAGAAACTTACCCTTTTAGGGCACAAGTGTTGCTCAAAGTTTGCTTTTCTTCTCCTGATTTTCTGAGCATCTTCAGTGATCAGATTCTTGTGTCCTTCGCGGACAGGCATCTCCTCAGTACTGCCAGCCTCAGATGTAGTCAGATGAAGATCTGGTGCAGGTAAACTCTCCTCTGATTTCAGCTCCACAACTGTTACTTTGGGTTTTTTGCTCTCGCACATGGCCAGGTGTTTTAGAAAACCATCTTTCCTCATAAAAGTGGATGTGCAGCTAACGCAGTGAAAGTGTGGAGCAGCTCGACACTTTAAATGACATTTAAAAATGAAGAACTCTAGTGAAACAAAAAAATGAGTAAAAAGGAAAAAAGTCCTCTGTTAGATATCCATTTGATACTAAGATTTACTTATGCTTTTACAAAATTCTATGCTTCAGTACATTTTAATACTCGACGGAACAGAATAAATATTTATTCCTGTGACTTCATTACCTGGGACTCTTTCAAGTAAAATATATACATTTAAATGCTTGTAATTTCTTACACGCATTATTTAATACTTGCCCTTGTGCCGTATCGCTCTTCTTCTGTGACCTTGTAAATGCTTTAAACATTTGCTTTTGATGGCGGGTTTGAACATTTCAGGCCCACAGAAAGGACAGTGGTACAAGGAACAGCAGTCCTCACATCTCTGGAGAGGTGGCTGCTCATCTCCTCGCAAAATAGTTTTGTGTAGCTATGAAATACAAAGGAAAAAAATATCAACACTGTAAAACACCTTAATGTGTCTCCTGATTATAGGCATTTCAGACAAATGCTTTGTACATGAAAATCTTACTTCTTGCCTCATTATGTGATTTTAAAAAAGATAAAGTATGACAAAATTACATTTGCCGACACCAAATCTATCTGAATCTGCATTCTAAAAAAGGAATTTCGATGTCAAAATCTTACAGTGTAAAGCGAAATTAATGACATGTGGCCAGGCCCAACATATAATACGGGGGAGGGACAATCAATACTTTACAACACAAACGCTCTGAAATAACAGCTGATCCATTGACGGACTCCTCCAGCCACGGGCCGATTAGCAGGTCTGCAGCTGGTCGCGTCTTGACGCTGCATCAAACTGTCACTCACCTGTAGCGTTATAAGCTCTGGATTTTGGTAACCTTGCTTATTAGTGACACAATGCGAGTTGATAGATCTGCCCTTATTGTTAAGTATGTAGAAATGTTGTAATTTACCTCTGTATGTTGACTTGTATGGCTGAACATTTTAGCCAAACTTGTTATGAGTCAGTTTGGTCTAAAATCTCGCGAGAGTACCCATAAAAAGGAGACGTGTTGAAAGCTTTTCAAAATAAGAGTTACAAAATGTGCATGACCCTAATGATTACTTAAGATGTTACTTAAAATGAAATATAATAGCAAACGAACAATAAATGTATCCATGTTTAAACTGACTGTATCAAACACATTTTAATGATATGTAATCAAATAACCAGGCTGAGATTTGTAGTGCAGTTCTAGTCATCACACTTTCCTCATAATTTGTTTTTAATGAAAGCCATGTCTTACTACAAATACATTTGTGTCTGTCAAAAAGACTTCCAACTCTGTCAAAGATAATTACATAATTTATTTTGTGTTTTCTCTTCCAAAATCCTGCTGCTGCATACAGTACATTTGCTTCAAAGAAAACTTGTGACATGGTGGTTTTTAATATTTAGAAAGAAATTCAAAAGAAATGTTGAAAGCATGATCTAAATGGGCATGCAAGAGCTTGGGGTGAAGGTACAATAGTGTAAGAACCTTAGCTGACTGCATCACACTGAGCCCAAAAAAAATTTTCAGAAGAGGTTTAACAAAATGGTCTACACTAACTCTGGTAACCTGCAGTCAAGATGTATTTTCATTTGTTTGCATCATCAGATCATAGGTGCATCAGCATAGTCCACTTATAAAATGCATATATAGAAAATCTACAAAGAATTAATTTTTCTTGGCCTCTTTGTTTGTTGCAGAGCTGTAAAAAGTTGATGTTTAGATAATAAAAATTCATTTTTTTTCCAAAAAACACTTGCGGAGGTAAAACAGGTTTCAACAGAAAAGCTGAATTCAGCCTTACAAGAGGTTGTTATATTTCATGTTGGTTCAACTGTAGAATTCCTAGCTTTCACACTGTGATGTTAAATAAAAACACAACACCGCATACACACGTGTGCACACACCCAGCCTTTCACACTCACACACACTCAGACAGACAGTCACGCACGCATGTCCATTGTCAAGTCTATGGCTTGGCAGTATGTCAAACCATAATTTCAAGTGAGCTGTGGGGATTTCAAAGGAACACTCCACTATTTTTAAAAATAAGCTCATTTTCCAACTCCCCTAGAGTTAAACAGTTGAGTTTTACCGTTTTCAAATCCATTCAGCTGATCTCCGGGTCTGGCGGTAGCACTTTTAGCTGTAGCTTAGCATAGATCATTGAATCTGATTAGACCGTTAGCATCTCACTCAAAAATGACCAAAGAGTTTCTATATTTTTCCTATTTAAAACTCTTCTGTAGTTACATCGTGTACTAAGACCGACGGAAAATGAAAAGTTGTGATTTTCTAGGCCGATAAGGCTAAGAACTATACTCTCATTCCGGTGTAATAATCAAGGAACTTTGCTGCCGTTCCATGGTTACCAATAGGCTTATTGGAAGTTACCTAGCTGGGACTATTTTCAGGCGCTGCGTAATATCATTGCACCTGCTGCACCCATGGTACAGCAGCAAAGTTCCTTGATTATTACACCGGAATGAGAGTATAGTTCCTAGCCTTATCGGCCTAGAAAATCACAACTTTTCATTTTCCGTCGGTCTTAGTACACGATGTAACTACAGAAGAGTCAAGTTTTTAAATAGGAAAAATATAGAAACTCTTTGATCATTTTTGAGCAAATCAGATTCAATGATCTATGCTAAGCTAAGCTAAAAGTGCTACCGCCAGACCCGGAGATCAGCTGAATGGATTCAAAAACAGTAAAACTCAACTGTTTAACTCTAGGGGAGTTGGAAAATGAGCCATTTTCAAAAATAGTGGAGTGTTCCTTTAAGGATGTAGTGTTTCTCTTCATCCTCACATCACGTCGGCACGTTTGTCCCTCACTTTGTTCCTTAATTTAGTCCGGGCTTTGAATGCAGCAGAGTTAAACAGATGCTGTGAAGAGACAAACCAAAGTTATATAAATATGCACACAAAACCTTAGTGAATGAAACTGTCTGCCAAAAAAATGCAAATTAAATAAGCACCGTTTACAAAATCAGTTGAATCTGACTTCACGCTGCAAAATAAGACTTCTCGTCATGTCAGTGTCACTGTTCGTTATTTATTACATTTATAAGCGAAAGGTTCAAGATTACCCTCTCTGTGCGGGAGATCCTGCTTGCTTTGACAGACGCATCCAGGATGAGAGGAGGTCCAAGTCCAAAAATATCCCTCAACAAAGGATTAAACTACAAAAAACAGACAAAAACTCATAACAAACACTGCAGAACAGTGGTTCTCAAACATGAGGCCGGAGCCTCAAGATGACTTGATATAAACGATATAAAACAAGCCCAAAAAAAAGCATTAAAATAAGGACTAATAACTACCAATTCTACTAATGGTTAGAGTTGGGTTCATATCGATTGGGTTTCTTACGATACCGGTGCCAAATCGATACTTTTAAAATGGTACCGGTGCCTAAACGGTGCCTGAAACGATACTTTAAAAAAAGAGCCACAAAAAAAACGATGGATAACATTAAAGAACATTAAAAATAAATATAGCATTCACATGCTCCTCGGATGCTCTCATTTCCCCGAGTTGTGCTTCCCTTACTGTAAGGTTAATAAATGTATTTCACGATCTGGGTCATTATTTAATGCAAAACAATATTTAATACAAAACTACACAATGTTTCTACTGTATCTCTGTCAATCACTCTGATATTTAGTTAAAATGAGTGAATTGAATGAGTGCTGTCTGTCACTGTCTTTAATCAGTTCTGTGAATGACTGTATGGTATGCCACATGCACTGTAATATGTTTTATATTAAATATAAAATTTTCAAATGAAAATAGCAACATGATCGTTTTATAAAGTATGCGTTCATATGTGTCAAGGGCTAGATTTTCACTGGAGGAAACAGCTGTGGTGTGTGATGAATGGTGAATGCAGCAAAAACTTTACAGTAGATGAGAAACCAATTGCTCCCTCGTGACTTTTTGTAAACTGTATTTATGACGAAGAACTGCACAGATATAGATATTATAACAATTTGTCAATAAACACACACCTTGTGTCCTCTGTTTCTGCTTGAGGCCGCTTGCGATGCGCCGCCGCGGTCAGCGGATTGAAGAGCGCGCTATGAAATTTAAAGGGGACTGACTCTGAGGCAATCACGAATTTGTGTACAGTTTATGAAGTTAATCGCTATAGCCCCGCTAAAAATGGCCTAGCGACACCCATGCTTCTTACGTCCATTTCGGAGAACCAGGACAAATATTTCAATCGATCGCTCAGGCATTTAAGTGGCACCGAAATGAGGCACCGAAATCTGCATTCTGATTCGGTTCTAGTACATACCGGTTACATAGGTACCCAACCCTACTAATGGGTCTACCAAAAAACTCAAAAAAATATGAGGTAGCCTAATTTTGAATAAATGTGATTTCTATCACTGGAAATGTCAAGTAAATTAACAGAATCTTAAAATACCATATGTATTTTATAAAGAATATACATTTTTCTAGTAATGACAAGCTCTAAAATGTGTTAGATTAGAAATTGAGAGCAAAAATTACTTTAAAAATCACTAACAACATATAAAATCATTGGTAAAATCAAGAGGGATCCCTGAACATTCATGAATTCCAAAACTTACTATATACAGAAACTTCCACTATAAAGCACTGATTTTCTGATCTGTTTTAATTAGGACCAGAAGCTTGCATTTCAATTCTGATTTCATTCAATATAGATACTTTTAGAAATATTTTAATTTAAATATGAACAAGCCTGTTTTAATTTCTACAGTGCATTACTCATGAATAGATTCAAATATCAATTATTTAAATTGCGAATTGTTTTTTTTAAAAAGTGGGAGGGGGGTTCAACATTTTTCTATAGTACTACACAGTGTTATGCCAATGGTGAGCTGCAATTGGTCCTCCTCACCTGTAGGTGGTGTCTGACTCCAGACTCGAGCACTTCCTTAAAGGCATCATAAATCCTGCGGCGCATCCAGCCATCAATGTAGATGGCCTCAATCCCAAACTGGATCTTCTCCTCTGTGAAATCTTCATTCTGAAAATACGAGGGAATGTTTGGTCTGATGTCAGTAAATTTTTAAACCATAATCATCTAAGACAGTCCTGGATCAACTCGGTTTATTAGCCCTGCATGAAAATTTGCTATAAAATATTTGGATGTAATTAACTGACATGTTATTTAAAAACAAAAAGGCATGAGTTGTGGCTCTCCTTTCACCTCAATGTAGTGCAGCACCTCTCTGAAGATTGAGCGCTGTTTCCTGCGGTCATTTTTAGCACGATGTTTGTTTCCATCAGTTGCCAGGTTCTTTAGACTGTCACACAATGCATCGCAGTCCTCATACTCAAACTCCTGAAACACCACACACATTACGTACACTGCCATCGTCCTGACACTCAAACCTATTCAGCATTACACAACACACACCTGATCGATGTCCCGTCCCAGTTCACACAGCAGAGCGATGGTCTCTCCCACAGCAATCCTGAAGTTCACCTCACTGCTTTCTAAACACGCGTGTAGACGTGGCATGTGGCTAAAAGACAGATAAAGAGATGGATCATATTACAGACAAATAAGTCTATCTATTCAATCTGGGTGTTGTCACATAGCTTTTTTTCTCACCCTTATGAAAGCATTACATAAAATATTATGTCTTCTGTATTCACTGTGGTTTAGATATCAAAACAGTTTTGGACTGTGGCTTTGTAACAACAAAAAGGCCCATACACTATAAAGGTGAAAATACAAGAAAAAAAGAAAATGTGAAATAACCACAGCTTCACAGCCTAATTATTCTTCACAGCTTCACCTCCTACTGGCAGAGAATGAATTAGCATTTTCAGCAAGTCCATCTGATTTACCCAGCAAACATATTTTGCTTATCAAAAATAATCTACTCTAGACGGACTACTTAGCTGCTGTTATTGATTCTATTTGGAAGTCTACCGGAAGTTAAGTTAGGGCCACAAAAGCGCGCATGCGCAGTAACGTTTGTTTATGTTATTGCC